GGCGCTGCCGCTCCTCGGCGCGCTGCGCCTGCAGCTCGGCGGCCTTCACCCGCTCCTGGAGGAGGTCGGCCCTGTGGGCGGCCTCGTGGGCGCGGCGCACGAGGACGCCGCTCTCCTCCTCGACCCGTCGCTGGGCCTCGAGGAGCTGCTGACGCATCCGCCGGAGTGCCTTCTCGGACTCCTGTAGGCGGCCCTCCCGTCGCCTGAGCGCGGCGACCTCTTTCCCGAGATTGGCCTCACGCACCTTGAGGGCCTCGGTGCGCCGTTCGATCGCTGTGGCCGCCGCCTCCTCCTTGAGCTTCACGACGCGCGCGAGGTCCTTCAAGGCGCGTGTGTGCTGCTGCTCAAGACGTTTACGGAACCGTTCGGCCTGGATGGCCTTCCAAAGCTCCAAATCCCACGCGGCTCGGTACTCCTCCGTCTGGCGGATGCTCCCGAGCGCATTCCCTCCCATCGCGTCAATCTTCCCGGGGGGACGGAGTAGCTTCCCAAGAGAGGCCACGTCGGGCGCAAGGGGTTTCTCAGCCCCGGTGTGGAGAGGGTGGCCGGCACCCCCAACAATCCCTCCATCTTCTGTGGTGGTGATCTCCACGCGTCGTGCGCCATTCTCGGGAAGTTGCAGTCCGTGATCCTTATCCAGCGAATTGTGGGGCTCCACAGGCGTGCGTCTTTCTCCGCCCTTGAGCTGACTGTTATCGGAAGTCGCCGCAGTCTCCACCGCGGACGTCGAGGAGGAGGAACTATGAGAGTTCACTGTGTGCATCTCACTTCACTTTCCTCGTTATCCTTTTTGCTTGAGTTGTTATACCGAGTTCAGGTCGATCCCTTGCGTCCGCAAGTGAACTTATTTATTCAAGGGTAGGAAAACAAGGAGGTAGTGGTTACAATACTCTCCGCAGCCCTCCCTCCCCTACTCTATGCCTGGATCTACTCTAGTACTTTAGCTGACATTATGCACAAGCAAAACAAAGGGATGTGGAGAAGACGTTCAGCGTATGCATATATACAACAATATGAAGTGCGCTACCATTCTCTCCTTTCATAGATTAGATACACGAAAGGACCTCCGTTATCTGGGGTAAAGGCAAATATATATCCCCCCTCGAAATATATATATATATATATCTGTAGAACTAATCCATCTTATTAAACTGACGTATTTAAGAACGAATACCACTGGCTTTTAAAGAACAACACCGACGAACTCAAACTTAATAAATTTCGAAACCTCCTATAGCTGTCAACCTTTCCGATCAGGTTACCAATGCAGAAGCCCCTTCACCTAGCAATGTGAGTGGATCCCCCGCCTGCTACCACGCAATAGAAAACAAAGTAGTGATAAGAATTGATAGCATGATAGATTTTTCGTTATAATTTTAGCGTATATTCCCTTGTACAGGCACGACTCCGGTACCCTCAGTTTATTCGGCAATCCCTCCTACTACAAATCCTTCCTCTGTCCGCGTCTTTGATGACCTCAGAACTCCCGCTGAAAAAATGCTTCGAGATGTGACAGTGTAGGACTCCCCGCGTACATACATCGCAAGGTGTCAGCCGCCATATCTCGTAGTTCACGCATTTGAGTCTCCTCCTCCTCGTCCAGCCGTTGCACCCCAGATTGGTGATTCTTGAGAATTTCATTCACCACTAGACAGAGGCCGTATGCCGAACGGGAGTTGTTGGGCTTCTGATTCAGAATCAGCGACTGCGAGTACTCCACGACGACGCGCCGAAGGTCTTTCTTCATGTAATAGAGCTCCGCCAGGCGTGTGTGGAAGAAATACGAGTTGGCCTCAAACAGACTCGCCTCCTCGATGTATTCGATCGCCTTATCCAAGTTGCCTATGAGGTAGTACAGATTGCTCAACTCCTTGTAAACTAGAAGGGCGTTACCGCGGTGGACTTCAAGAAAGGTGTAACTCTGCCCCTCCTCGTCAGTAAAGACCTTATCCTTCTCTAGGATGTTGATAGCAGCTTGGTAATCACCCTGCCCCTTGTAGACCGCGCTAAGCCGTTTGATGGCAAAGTCGTTCGTGGGGCTCGCCTTGTGGACGGCGTCGTAAACGGCCTTGGCCTCCTCAAGGCTCCCCTCCGCCTCCAAACACATCCCATGACGCAGCATAACACGCGTCGATTTGTGGCCGAATTTTTTTTTCAAAAGGTTCAAGTACCGCCGCGCATGCGCTGCCCTACCGCACTCCAGCAAGGCAACAAGAATCTGATCGTACACCTCGTAAAGCTCAACCGTGCTGAGCCCGGTCGATCCCCCGGCGAGGAGGTCGGTTGCTAAGAAGAGAACCGCGTTCGCGTTGTGATACATTCCGGTGCGGTTTTGGTGCAGCAGTTCCACCTTCTGTTGCCGTGAGAGCTGCTTCAGGTCAAGCGGTGTTACGGAGTGCAGCAGCGGCATAATATCTTGAGTCATTTGCGGAAGAAATGCGTAATTAAACTAATGAGTCCCTAGCGTTAATGTGGTTCGTTGTTTCCTACAATAGAACACTTCATAATAAAAAGGCATAAAATTATTCTAAAAGCAGTTACCTCCCGAGGATGAAGGTGTGCTTTGCCGAGAAATTAACCTCAATGGTAAACTCTCCCCCTACTAAGGCCATGCTGCCTCATTCAAACGCCATATTGGTCGTCTATTTCACATGTTTGACTCCAACCCTTTCCGATACCCTAAATCAAGTGAGGAAGGTGTTTAAGTATCCTCCCTCATACAGCAAACGCTTGGTGTCTTCAAATCCCATAAAAATATACCCATCACTCAGTATCCGTTTCCTTCTCCAGTCCATGGTAAACATGAGTGCCGAGGGCCGTTCCGTTTTTCGCCACCACGTCGTAAATCATCTCAGCAGCCATAAGTGGTCCCTCCCTCATCCACTGACGAGCTGCGATCAGTGGATTCCTCGGCGGCAAATCCGTCCGACGCACCACGGGCCGTGGAACCATCAGAGCATCCGGAAGCGACGACACGTCCCGTTGGCGTTTTTCGCTCAATTCTTGAATTACGCTTGCTTTGAGCTTCTCGGCCGCCCATCGGCGTTCATCGGCGGTCTTAGCGGCCTTTCGCCGTACACGCTCCGCTTTTGCCTGCTTACGCACGTCAAGTTGCGCCTTCCATCGGCCGACGTTCTCCGCTTTCCGTGCGGCCACGACGTCAACCCCCCCCTTTCCCCCACCAACGCGGCGGACCTTATCAGTCGCCACCTCGCCCCCGCCGCCTCCGGTTGGGAACAGCGGCGGCGCCGCGCCGGTGAGGATGTCGTCCACGAACCGAAAAGCATCCTGTTCCTTCTCCTTGCCTACCGCGTAGTCGCGGTAGGTAAGCTTGAGATAGCGCTGGTTTGGGAGCCCGCTGACGTCGGTATCGTTGTCGTCATCCCAATAAAGCGCATTCACCAGGACGGGATCCGACTTTACCTGCAACAAGTTGAAGAATCTCGGTCCGGCGATAAAGCGCAGCAACTCATCCACCGTGGCTGGGAAGGTCGGCATGAGCTCCGCACGGTTGCGTGGTGTGATGACGTTGTTCTCTCCGAGGTCAGGAACCTTGAGATCCATTCGGTTCAGGATGTGGGCGGCCTGCATAGGACCGACTTTGCTTGCCTCGTCCTTCTCCTCCCCCTCGTCCGGAGGACTCATTGGGGTGAAGAACACAACCGATGGTACGGATTTAATCTTGAGCTGAGAGATCAGCGTAGGTTGCTTGTTGGCGTCAACCCAGAACACGTCCACGCGGAAGAGCGGCACCCACCGCTTCATGGCGGCGTCACGGCCCCCGTTGAAGGGTAGCCGACCCTGGTCCGCCGCCGAAGGGGCATACCAAACGGGAAACTCGCGAAACCGCTCGGCGAGTTCCACCGCCAGCTTAAGATTGGACCTAAACGACCGTCTATCCGAACCAAAGAGAAAAAATACCACCTTCACCACACCCGACGACAGTTCCCGGACGAGGTGCTCGCGACGGGTGAGCTTCCGCAGGGTGGAGTGATTCCGGTACGCCTGGAGGTCTGCCCGCCAGCGCGAGAGCTTCTCCCGCTGCGACGACGTCCACAGCGCGTCCTCCGGCGGCGGCGGCGAACCGCCCGCGGTGCGATTCCCCGCCGCCAGCAACCCCCACACCGCGTTGGTGGCGGCGGCGGCGCTAGGGAGGGGGAGGGCGAGAGAAACCCGCGGGTGGTGCCCCCCCGGCGTCGCCGCCGATCGCGCGAAACTCGTCCCACGGCAGGGCGACGGCGGTGTGGACGTCGGCCAATCCCACCCGCCCACAGACCTCGGCGTCGTCGGTCGCCACGACGAGGACCCGCCCGGCCGTCTGCGCGGCGGCGGCGGATACGGCGGCGAGGACCTCGCCTGTCCCCCGCGGGGCGCGCACGACGAGGACGTGATCGGGCGCCCCAGAGACGCCCCCCC